TATTATTATTACTATTATTATTATTATTGTTCACACAATAAACGATAATAATTAAATTTTCATTATAAGCTCCAAACCATAAACGTTTACAAATATAATTTCCATCATAAGAAGTTCCAAATTTCCTTCGCTATATTAAGTTGTACTTCGTTCATTACAGCCTTACGATTCTCGTTAAACAAATCATAATTTGCTCTTGGTTCGATTTCTATACCACTATCAATGGGTATATCCAACTCATGTAATCGAATAAAATTATGTGAAGTGTGAATGCAACAACCATAATCGCCAATTGATGTTTATTTGGCATCATTGTGAGTATTTTCCATTGAGATTTGAATTTTCCAAAACATCTCAAATCATTCCATTGATTTGTTACTAGTTTGATATTGAATTGCTTTCCACATTTTACGATCAAAGTACTCACTATTCTATCCCAATTAAGCTTTAAATATCCAAATTCTTTCATCTCAGCTCCAAGCATATGTCCAATAATATCTCCGTACATTCTTCAGACCATGCTACCCTACCAGCCATTACACTATGATAAAGAGCACTTTGGAATCAATATTTCATGCATAAATTATAGACATTAATGTTGAATTGGCACCAGGATTATAATCAAAAGGATTCTTTTGAAATAAATGAACTGAAGATAAAATATTAATTGTGCTTTACATTTTCATCGATATTACTTGCATTAGGTCAAATGTAAAATTCATGAAATCAAATAAATGTATATTTTCCTACATTATCAAAAAAAAAAAAAACAATGGACAAATGATAAAATTAATGACATAGAGTGTTGAAGTATTTACCTATGATGGAGATAAAAGACAAACAACCTATTGAACAAATGAATAGAAAAATATTTTAGGAGATTGATTTAGAGTGTGAAAATTATGACAATAAGATGTTGTTTTATATAGGAAAATAGAGGTGCTACCCATAGTTGTTCGGAATATTGAAATATGAAATGATAATTTTCAATTCAATTATTTAGTCAACCATTTTACATTACCAAAAAATTTGTAAAATTCCCTATAAAGCTATGACAAATTTAATTTGCAATTTAGGTTTTTTAGGATCCCATTTTAATACTTTCTTATAAACAAATTCATTTATGATGTTGGATATTGTAAATAATAAAATTATCAAATATTACAAGTATATTACCTTATACTATATGATAATATTAATACCTTTAGGTTTCTTTTAAAATATTTGTAAGGGATCTAAAATATTTTATAATAATAATAATAATAATAATAATAATAATAATAATAATAATAATAATAATAATTTTCCTAACAACAACAACAACAACAACAATAATAATAATAATAATAAATAATAATAATAATAAATAATAATAATAATAAATAATAATAATAATAATAATAATAACAACAACATTAATATTGATTAAAATAAAAGTAAAATATTGAAATAATCAAAATAAGTTCAGATCAGATCAGAAAAGATAAGTTCAAATCAGATCAGAAAAATTAAGTTCAGTTCAGATCAGATCAGAAAAAATAAGTTCAGATCAGATCAGATCAGAAAATATAAGTTCGGATCAGATAAGATAAGATAAGATCAGACCAGACCAAACCAGATCAGCTAAAATCAGGTGAATTAAACAGGGCCTTAGTCGCCCGATCGGCTATCAATCTCATTAGCACTTCGTAAATGGCAAGAAGAAGGATTCTAATCAAACCTCAACTCTTATGATTTTTTTTTGTTCAATATTTGTGAGGTAGAATAATATGTATTTAAATGTGAGGAGAAGGGTAAGAAATCCTCACATCCAAGAACAAACGAAGATGGAGTTAGGAGGATTTGACTTATAAGGTGAATTTCTAACTAAATACATCAAGTGTTTGTGTGATTATGAATTGAAATTGATGTTATAAATTTTCTCAATTTAGACATTTTTTTGTAAGGAAAAGTACACAAAAAGTTAGGCCTTGTTTGGTAGTAAGCTTATTGGGGGTATATTAGCTTATTTGACTAACTTTAGCTGATTGACTAGTCAAACAAGCTAATATAAGTGTTTGGTAGAAAGCTTATTCAAAGAGCTTATTCCACTAAATAAGCTCTTTTTGAAAAATCTCATTTTAGGAGCTTATTCAATTAGCTTATTCATTAATTATTGTGAAATGACACTTATAATATCATTTAATTTAAAATCCTATCTAAACTACCTACCCCACAATTAGCTTATTGGTCATTTCACATACTCAATCACCTTTAAGCTATCAGCTATTTACCAAACACTTTTATATAACCAGTTAATACAATAAGTTAGTCAAATCAGTTAATAAAATCAGCTAGTCAAACTCAGCTAACTCAATCAGTTTCAACTTTCAGCTTTCTCCCAAACAAGGCCAGAATATTTTTCTTTCAACTAGCCTAATTCTTAGCTTATTATAGTGAATAAAATAAGAAAACTTATCTTAATGAGCAAGCTTGCATAAAATGATCCAAAAAACAATGTAAATATAATTAAAGTTTACAAAAGAATAATAATTACAAAGCAACCTCTATTAATGGCTGAATTTTCCATAGACAAGGTGTCTTACCTTGCAAATTACAGTACAAGTATTGATGATATAAGTAAACTAGAAATACCATTAAGCATTAAGGGTGCATGTAGAAAAATATATCCTTTTTGGCATACTGTACCAATGATATTAAAAGTGGTAAGTAGTAATAATCATAGCTACTTAGGCTAAAAGGGGCTCTATTTGTACCTTGTGAAAATTGACAATTAGCTATGACAATAATGAAACATGAGCTCCGTAGACTAAAAGTGGATTATTTGTACGTTGTGAACTTTGACAATTAGCTACGATAATAATCATGAAAAGATTGTACACCGTAGTCCGGAACAAGGGCCATTATTAAGACTCTCCACCAAATAACTTTTACTTATTACTTATGATCTGACTTTGATTTAGTGCGGATCACTTACTGTAGCTTCGGCTTGGCCCGATTTTGGTCCGACCGTAATTCTTTTGTTATTTCGGTCCAAATTTTGACTCGGACTATAATCATATTTGAATTTTTCTAAACTTTTAAATAGAAGTAACATAGGCGTATAAGCAACATATCCATGGGTTCAAGCCTTCTCAACTTGAACCAATAATACCGGGGTATTACTTATTATGTAGGATGTTTAGCTTTCTTATTTTTGTATTGTATATTCGCAAACAAAAATAAATAAAACTAACTTCTTAATTATCTAAGTAAGGTCCAATACACGTACAATTTGGTGTTTCAAGGCTAATTTGCTATTTATTTTTCCATCTAGTGAGCAACTAATAAGTTACAAGTCTAACAACCGTACCCCAGAGTATTGAATAGACATTATGTAATATATGGCTCTAAATATCAATTCATTAAAATATATTCTTCTTACAATAGTATAATTTAATAAAAGTAGTCATAAAAAAATTACAAGTATATCTATATACTTCATGCATTCCAAATTGTAAGTAATGACAAAATAGTAGTTCATAACAAAATCTAACCATATAAAAGATGTTTTTAGTGTAACCGTGTAACAAAAATAATTATAAATCCAATGATACCAAACACCAAAAAAAATAAATCCAATGATACCAATAGGCAATAGCTATATACTGCATGAATTTCGTACGTACATGCATGTAATGGATTGGAAATATTTGAGTAAAAAAAAATAGGTTAGGTTAATTTTGACCAAAGAAGATATTGGGTTATTTGGTTACTGAAAATTTTAAGGGTTTTTTTTTTATTATTATTATTTATATATATATATTTAAATCTTTTCATTTTATTTGTCATAAAGTACTTATAGTTGTATTTCAAATATTTGGTTAGGTTTAAATCAATTCTATACTTGATTAGCTACTCTTTTCTCAGTACGTGTTACAATATACAAGTAGTAGTATATAAAACAAAGTAAAGAATATCTACCATATACCCCACAAAGGTTTTATGAATTGAAATTTCAGTCAAAATCAAGTTTGATGAAATCTATCATGCATGTACCAAAATATGCTTTAGTTGTAATTTGTTTTGAAAAAAAAAAAATCCTAATTTAATGTATGTTATAGTCCATAATCCCTCTCACGCCCCCTAAATCTATCAATTAAGGCAATTAGGCCAAGACGGGTGGGCATCACTGGTCTTAGCTTCAATTATCATCCTTAAAAACTTTAAATTGTACAAGGTTGATTACATTACATCCACCATTATCATCATAATACTTAATAATGAACCAATCGATTAAGCAATCAATTAACATTTTTTTTAATTAATTTTTGGTAAGAAGATTGGCCTTATTAATTCGTCAACGAACGTGATCAACTTAGAGGGGACGAGGTAAAGAAATGACACTATCCCAAGTATATCGAACTCGTGATTTCAAAATCACAACAAGGTGAGTTCCTCTCTACATGCACTAGGCGAACATGCTTGGTTAAGGACCTGTTCTGATTTATTGAGCTGAAATGAACTGATTGACGCTTAATTGAATTGAACTGAATATTTTATAAGAAAAGAAAATTAAAAACTGAACTAGATTAGAGCTGAACTGAACTGAAAATAAGCTGAAGAGAACATACCCTAAATATATAGCGAAAATGCCAAATTACTAATTTGCATTTATACGGTTCAAATATGAATGTGACTTAACCGATCATTACCTTAGAAAAAATATCACAAGAAAACAAAAAGACAAAGACAATGGTCTACAAATATCTTACATAATACTTCATAGATACGACATACTCGTATTAAGGCCTGTTCTCATACGTTGAAGTTCAGTTCAGCTTCTAATTTCCTTCTCTTATAAAATATTCATTTCATTTCACTTCACTTCAGTTAACCTCAGTTCAGTTCAGTTCAGTTCTGTTCAATTTAATTCAATAAATGAAAACAGGTCCTTAGTCGTATATACTTCCATTGCCACATAAAATGGATGACAAGAGCAAATAGTTCATGTAACTATGTAAGATCGTAAGTAGTCGTACAACACACCACTCCATAGTGGAAGATCCGAAGATATATTTCATTAGTCGTACATAATTGCATATTGCATGAACCTAAAAACCCCATTACAAATCACGAATCAAAACAGCCTACGTGTCAAACTCTCATCCATTTCTACTACTATCACACCCATTCTAGGTGGCCGACAACTCGACAACCCTTGATTTTTGGACATCGTATACCCCTCCTCTCCATCCATCCGTCCACGTGTCCTCCCTTCTCTTCAATTCACGGCTTGTACGGTCCCAGTCCCACTCTTCTTCGTTCTAACTCATACTCTCATACTATACTATCATCATCTATTAGTCATCATTACTTTTCTTAACTGTTTTTCTTTTCTCTCTCCTCTTCACCCTACCCAACTCCACTCCATTAAAACCACTCTCCAAACATACAAACAAACAAACCCATAACTTAACATAACATAACACAATCAATTACATATTTCTACTATCTTCATTTCATATTGATCTTCCTGCGTCACAAATGCAAGACGTACAGCCAATCAGCAACAGCCTTGTCGGCGGAAGGCTGTTGCTGAAGCGAATTAACCACCAAGACCAAGATAACATGATCAATAGTAGTAGTAATAATACTAACTACCAAATTCTACAACATCATCAGCAACACCAAAACCACCACCAGCAACAACCGCAGGCGGCGGCGTTGAAGTGTCCGAGGTGTGACTCATTGAACACAAAATTCTGCTACTACAACAACTATAATCTCTCGCAACCACGTCATTTTTGTAAGAACTGCCGTCGCTACTGGACCAAGGGTGGCGTCCTTCGTAATGTCCCCGTCGGCGGAGGCTGTCGAAAATCTAAACGATCATCGAAGCCGAAAACATCTACAATGATTTCCATCTCATCTAAGAAAACTGCTCAGAATAATAATAGTAACAATAACAGTTCTCATTCTAGCAGTGAGAGCTCCTCCACGCCGCCCACCGTCAACGGCGGCGCGTTGTTTCAAATTCCGGAGATTGAGAACTTCGGGATGACATCGGAGATTGAGCCGAGTCTGTTCTCCGGTGATATTGGTGGGTTCATGAATTTAATCAACAACAATGAAAATCATAATAATAATAACAGTAATAATGATGAGAATAATAGCAGTGTGATGACTGCTGAAGAAGGGAATGGAACGGCGTCGTTTAGTGAATACCTGCAGAATCATCAGGAGTGGGATATGGAGAAGATTTGTGGGGTCCATCAAGAAGAGGATAAGATTGGGGGATCCATTGATCTGGTGGTGGATCCGACGGTCAGGATTGAAGATTTGTTGCAGAACAGAGGAAGTAATGTGGGGTTTACTACACTAGATTGGCATCTAACGGCTGGTAATAATAATAATAATAATAACAATGATGATAAATTTGATAATAATCAAAGTTTATTTGAAGTTCCTCAAAGCTCAACCGTTGATCATCATGATTATTGGAGTCAATCAACTACAGCCGTTCATCATCATCAATGGTCTGATTCTACTACTAGTCATCTTCCTTGATTAATATTGTTTCTCTTTTTAACACCCAATAATTCATATTTTAATTATAAGTTTTTTTTTTTTTTTTTTTTAAGAAAATGGAGTTAAGATGTAAATTTTTTAATACCCGTTTTTTTTTTTTTTTTTTAAAACCCCAATTATTGGGTGTTTTAATAGGGTTGATTGATACTTGTGTTTAGAATGATGTTTGCCTGATTTTCTTTCCTAGTAGTGAAAAAAATTAGGATTGATATGATAATTGATGGGTGTTTTAATTTGAATTATACTACAAATATGGGGTGTGTTATGTATATTTTCTGACTAACCTAGAATTTTATGTATCTAATGTTTGTACCCATTTTTAATTTCAAGTCTAAATGAAATCTAATGATTTTTAGTTAATTACTATTGAGTTGTTTGTTTAACTTTTAAACTGCTCTTATATATGATGCACTTATGATACGCTTTATTGTTATTTTTGAGATTGCACAAAATTAATTGGATCCTATACGAGTATCATACACAAACCTTTAAGTTTTTGCCACTAGATCCAGAACTCATTGGTTGGTCATTTGTTGATATTTGTTATTACCTCCGTCTCTAGAAGTTAGTTCAATCTTGTTTTGATGGTGATTGACACATAAATATTAACGTCAAATATGTAAAAAAAAAAAACAAGGTTGTATCTTTATTGTTAAAAACAAAATATTAGGACATAATATACAATATACTTCAATATTAATTTTCGAGTATTAGGATATTTAGCTGAAAACGATTTTTGTTTTGACAAGTATAATAATATGAACTAATAGTTATCCAACATAATAATAATAATTGAATAACTAAGGGCTTGTTTGACATCATTTTTTGTTTTCAGTTTTCTGTTTTTTTGAAAACCAAAAACAGGAAAGAAGAAAAATGTGTTTCCACTTTTCTGTTGTCAGTTTTCAAAATAATCATGTTTTTAATAAGTTCAAATAATTTTTGATTCATTTTGGGACATATATCACATACTTTTAAATAACAAAAAACCAAAAAAAGAAAACCGCAGCAATGTCAAACGAACCCTAAAATAATTTTTTTCATTTTGATCTAATAAAGTAATAATTACTACTTAGGGGTTCAGTAGTTAATTTGTAAATTTTTTGTTAATAATGAAGTATGTTTATACTTCATTCACAGCTAAAGATGATAGAAAATCAAATTAAAATAAGTATGATACTTTATTCAAAACAAACTATTCATGTAAATCACATTAAGATAAGTGAATTACTATAATCAAAGCTAAATTTTCACCTAAAAATTGATTAAATTTTTAACGAAATACTCAACTTATTTACAAAAGCAACCTTTTATAACTTATATCATGTATAAAAACTACTCATATGGTACCATTTATTTGTCTCATTACTCTCCTATAATGACTAATAATGTGTAAGGGTCTATTCTATTCACCTTATTTTCAGGAAAAATAAGATTTGATAAGGATTAGCCAAGTATAAATTACATTTAAAATATATTTTAATGAGGTGTAATAAGTTTGGATAAGTCCAGATTAGTTGAGATAAGTTCAGATAAGTGAAAATCAGGTGAATTAAACACACCATTAATGGATAAGATTCTCTTCTAAAGGGGACTTTTGTCAATGGAATTTGATTACGTAGTATTTGAAGCTTGGCATGGATAAGTCAAATTTTGACCCTACCTTACCTCAGTCAGAGTTCGACAAAGACCTTACCAAAAATACAGAGTTTGAAAGAATTTTCCAAACCTATGATCTAAAGAACATGTTAGATGTTATTAGTTGAAAACAAATTGATCCAAGTAAAATTTAAAACTAGCAAGTTTAGTTCTGTGATCCATTTTTTTTTTTTTTTTTTTTTTTTTTTTTTTTTTTGACAAATCTGTGATCCTTTTGGGTATAAAACAAATACAATATTTGGCATGATAATCAATTTATTAAGAATTTATATATAACAAAAAAAAGGTCTATATTTGAATCATGTTAACAAAAACTAATTAGAAATCTAGAGGATAAATATAAAAGAGAATAGTACATCAAAAATTTTGATAAAATCGAATTGCCAAATTAGCTTTTCTTGCATTTTTGCTATAAAACTTGTGGAAATTCCTATGAGACAATTATTTTCTGACAAAGAGAGTAATTGAATTGGTTTTTATTTTATGTTTTTATTTTTTTTATTTATTTTTATAGTGAAAATAATATTGGAGTACTTAATAAATATTATATTCTTGTTAAGTGGTTTTTTGAGTGTAAATAAGAAAGAATAAACGATCTTGTTGAGTTGTTGGCACTTTGAAGTGGATAGAATAATGAGAAGTTGAGAAGGATTGAATCATGTGAGGAGCAAAGAGTGGTATAAATTGTACGGATTGTTTGGGCTGTGAAAGTCCATGTGCGACAACTGCTGGCCCAGTTGCTCATTTCAGGGCCCACTATACCAACTAATTTTGACAAGTTCACATATGTCTCGAAACGATGTGTACTAGATATAAAATAATTGAAACGCATCATACTAATATCTATAGTACGGTCTTGGTCGGTTACACGGTTAAGAGAGACTCATAGTCGACAATTTTTTTTTTTTTTTTTTTTTTTTTTTTTTTTTGAAAAAAGGTCCTAAAGGACATTAAATTTCATTAATAATAGCCCTATGACAGCTACAATTGACAATTAATGATAATGAAAACGAATTTAGCAAAATCAAACAAGAATTAATCGGGGAAGGGCTAAGAATCCAAATACATAAGTATAACAATTCGGCACATTCTCGGTTCGTTGTCTCATACAACTTTTTGAGTGGGTCCGTCGCCGCTTCGCAATTTTGTGAGAAAGAAAATTCTTGTGGTGATTCCGTAACCCGAATTCGAGCCATAATCAATAGTAGCCCCGCACAACCAGAGACCAAATTAAACACAAATAAAACCTTGTCTTTCGAAGGAGTCCGAAAAACCTTGTCTTTCGAAGGAGATCGAAAAAACCTTGTCTTTCGAAGGAGATAAACCCTTTCTTTCGAGGGAGACATTATTGTAACCTAGAACAAATTAAAAAACTTGAAAGAAAATAAAATTTGAGGCTTTCCACTGGTGAAATCCGATGGAAGCCCCTTCAAAATTGACAATGAAGGCTAAAGTTTAGGAGAGAAAAGAGAGAGAGGAGGCTAGGGTTTTTTTTTATAATAATTAGGATTATTATATCATAGTCGACAAGTTTTTGAATAGGTTAAACAACATTGATTATTAATTGGTTGTTGGTGTAGTGGTGATTGAGACTACACTTGATAGAGAGGACTCGTATTCGATCCTCCGCAACAACAGTCGGGAGGGGACTGAAACCTAACCATCCAGAACTGATCACCAAATCCGGATTAGCCCAAAAGGGTGAACCGGGTGGAACACCAAAAAAAAAAACAAAAGTGATTATTACTTCATCTGTCCCTATTTAAAATAAAGGGACGAAGGGAGTATCTAGGTAATATCATATATAGGAAAAGTAATCTTTTCTTTATTTATTTTTGATAGAATGCAATGTGTAGTCTTCACTTACGTACCATTGAATGATTATTTTTTTTTTTTATTTTTTTTTTTAAGATAAATCATTGAATGATTGATGGTTTTGTTATTAAATTAACACTCTGGTTTGATGCCTTCATCTATGTTTTCTACTCAAAACGAAATGGCCTCTAAAGTGAACTTGTTTGGAACGCAGATCGTACAGTTAAGAAACAGTTTGGATAGCTAGTTTTAATACACAAGCCTTGGCATTTTCACAGTTTGGATAGCTAGTTTTAATACACAAGCCTTGGCATTTTCACAGTTCGGATAGCTAGTTTTAATACACAAGCCTTAGCATTTTCACTTTCACTAAGCATGAATTCAAAGTTTACAAAACTTTCAAAAGCATCTGATAGGAAGACTTATTAGTAGGTGTTTCAATTTTTAAAAGGCAAACTGTTCTTTTAAGAAGCCAACCATTACTTTGAAGCTATGCTAAATGCATTTAGGTTATCTCTATTAAAATAGAGAGAGATTGGAGAAAACGGCTTAAATCTTGTATGATATTCACGACTATAGTACAATACAAAGGATACCCAACTTGCCTAAAACCCTTAAAAGATACATGTTAAATAAACATATATTTAACATAAAACCAACTGACTCATATTAACCTTAATTATGAAAACTCTCCAACATTATATAACATGGGCTTTATTATTAGACAATGGACACCATAAGAATGAGAAGTTTTAGTTGTTTTAATCATGATGAACTGGAGTGTGTTGCAGAGCCAATCTCACTAAGGCTATCAACAGGAATAACAAATGCTTTGGGAGGTCTGTTTTTGACTTACTGGTGGAAGAAATTAGACATTTGTAGCATTGGAGAAGAATTTGAATTCTTCTATTGTCACCATGTTAAAAGGAATAATGGTATAGCCCACTTTGTTGCTAGATTACTGATTACCTCCTTCAAATGGGGTGGAGCAACTGTTTGTCAACTCTTCCCCGCCGGGAGTAAATTCCTTGGCGCGGAGCTTGATGTAATTTGAATTTTTGTATTAACCATAAGTAGTTTTTTTATTTGATTTTTTGTATTATAACCATAAGTAGGTTTTTTTTTTTTTTTTTTTTTTTTAATTATTTTTTTTTTTATTTTTTCATATCTTTTACTAGTAGAACATTTTGGGGACGTTGGACTTTGGACTTTGTAAGTAGAGGGGGTGTGTGGCTATTAAATCGTTTGGATTAATGTCAGCCTGTCAGATGAGGCTAGAGGTGTTAATTCGGGTGTTCGGATCAAATTCGACGAGATTTGATTTACTATTTTAAACTTAAGTAATATCAAATTATTGTGTCCATGCGAGTTGACTCAAGTTTTTTTTGGTCAGATCAGGTCTATAATCTATTTCAAACTTGAGCTATACTAAATTATCGTGTTCATGCAAAGTTTTAATACTTCTAGGTGTGACGATTAAGGCCTTATTTAGGGTGTGTTCTATTCACTTGATTTTTAATTATCTGATCTTATCTGAATTTATCTAAACTTATTAACCCTTATCTGAATTTATTAACTATGAAGTAAGTAGAATTAAGGTGAACAGAACAGGGCCTTAAATAAGTTCAAATCAGATTAGATCATCGTTTTATGTGCAGTTTTTTAGCAATAAATATCTTTAATTTCGTAATTGAAAAAATTGTGAAAATTATACATATTAATAAAATACACATTGTTACGAATCTAACAAGATCTTACTTTATATATTTTTCCTTGTAGATTATCGTATCTTTAAGTTCAAATTGTATTCAAATTAGACAATCAGATCATACCAAATCAGAATCAGATAAGTAAAAATAAGGTGAACTAAAAAAGCCCTAAGTTGT